TTCATTCAAAGGGTTTTCTATATCAGCTGAGATTTTAAGATAAAATTTAGCAGACAGGATTTTTCGTCTGATTTCTAATGATGTTTCTCCACTCTCAGCTAATAAGGCATTAGTAGGAGTAGATCTCATACAACCAGTGATAATCCTCAAAGCTTTGAATTGGATTTTGTCTAATGTTACGAGGTTGGCTTTACTGCAGGGTTTTAGTACTGTACATGAGTAATCAAGGTGTGATCTTATAATACCTTTATAAATTAACAGAAGTGAAACAGGGTCTGCTCCCCACCATGTGCCACATAATGCTCTCATTATATTCATTCCTTTTTGAGCTTTCGTTTCAATATTTTTAATGTTTTCTGTCCAGTTTAAAGAATTATTAAAAACTAACCCTAAATATTTAATAGAGTTTTTGATAGGAATGATCTGTCCATCTATTGTTAAAGGTATGTCATTTATTGTGCTCCTCATATTACTAAATATCATTGCTGATGTTTTATCTATTGATAAAGGAAGCTTATTTTCAGTTAGCCAAATAATAATGTCTCCAAGGCAATCATTAGCAAGTCTAATAAGATTATTTATGTTTTTGCCAGTTATTACAAGAGCTAGGTCATCAGCGTATTGTATTAATTTGAAATTGGCTGGTATAATGTCATGTAATGATTTAGTGTACACATTAAATAAAAGTGGGCTTAGAGGTGACCCTTGAGCCAAACCTCTATCTGTAGTGTTGGGTCCAAATATTTCATTCTGCTTATCTCTCACATAGATCATTCTATTATTCAAAAATTCAAATATTAAATTATTATATGCACTAGGAATATTTAATTCAGTCATTTTTTTATATAGCAGATATATATCTACATTATCATATGCAGCTTTTAGATCAAGAAAAACAGTTAATACCACCTGCTTATCAGTAAATGCATTAAGTACTATATGTGATAGTAGTGTATGTGCATGATTGCAACTAAGTTCCTTGCGGAACCCTATTTGATACTGCGATAAAATGCTGTTGTGTTCTACAAACCATTCTATTCTATTCCTAATTATATTTTCCAGTACTTTACCTACACATGAAGTTAGGGCAATTGGTCTATAGCTCTCTGGATTATCTGGGCATTTAGTAGGTTTCAAAAAAGGTAATATTAATGTTTGTTTCCATTCAAAAGGAATTTTACTCATTTCTATGATATCATTAAAAATTTTAATAAGATGAGAATGTGCTATTGGGGGTAAATTTTGAATCATAGAATATGATACACTATCTAACCCTGTTGCTTTATCTTTTTTGGAGTATATAATATTTTTATACTCATTAAATGTAATAGATTGAACACTTTCATTATTATCATTGAACAAGGTAAAGTAGGGATTTACATTACAAGAGGTTAAGCTGTCTAGAATATTTACACAAATTTCTTTATTGGGAGAAATTGTATTTCTATTGCCAAAATATGTTTTAAATTTTTTAACTGTATTCCAGATTTTGCTGATTGGTGTATCTCGATTAAGGGTCCCACAAAATGATCTAAAACTCTTCCTTTTCTTAATTTGAAGTTGCCTTTTCACAAAAGCCTTTACTTTATTACAATTTATGTAGTTTTCCAGCGTCTGATTTTCAATGTAATTCTTAATTGATTCTCTTCTTTTTAATATCAATTGCTCACATTCATCATCCCACCATGGTACACTCTTACCATTCGGCTTGTACATATGATATGGAATATTTTCTTGTGCGCTTGAATTGATTATTTCATACCATTCATTATATCTTACATCATGTAGAACATGCATTTTCTTTTCAATAGTATCTGCATATCTAGACCATTTTGCTTTTTTAAAATTACGTTTTCTACATGGCGGTGGACTTGTAGAAGTCTGGATTTGATTGTATTCACATACTGTTGGGAAATGATCACTACGTCCAGTGTCAGAATATACCCACCAATGACACTTGGTAGCAATATTTTGACTGACAATGGTTAGATCTACTGCTGATGGGTTTTGACCAGGCAATACCATTCTAGTAGGGGTTCCATCATTTATTATTACTAATTGATCTTCCTCTAAGGATTCCTTTATTATGTTTCCATTATGATCACTAATAGCACAGCCCCATAATGGATCGTGTGCATTTAAATCCCCCATAATTATAACGGGTGTACCAATATTTTGAATTATATTATTCCATAATGGTTTTGTGATTTTTTTACCAGAAGGATTATAAATATTAATGACATTTAGTTTAAATTTTGTCAATCTTGTACCTATTATTTGAAGATTTTCTCCACTACCAAAGTCAGTTATTCCTATACTATTATGATCAAAGCAATTCTTAACTAAAATCATGATGCCACCATATCCATCATATCTATCATCTCTATATACATAATAATTTTTTATTTTAAAGATAAAACTATTATCTGTCCAGGTTTCATTTAAGAGAACTATGTCTGGTTTGATATCATTAATAAATATATTTAAATTATCATAATTTGCTTTAAGACTTCTGATGTTCCACTGCATAAGTGTGAAACATCCTTGTGCTTTGTTATATTGATTAACTTGAGTCATCATTTCCTATGAATGAATCAACATTTTCTGTTTTTAATTTTGTGATAAAATTAAGAACATGTTCTCTATCTGTTTTGTTTAATTTAGTAGCCATATTCATTATAACCTGGAGAGACTGAGAGTCATCCCTTCCAGGGGTAGTTATATCCCATTCATTATTGTTATAGTTTGTGTTACTAAAAATATGTGTTTTCTCTGTATGAATTCTTCCATTAGGATTTAATAAAAATTCATTATGTTCTGAATTTCTTTTCTTTGCGCTCTGATCTGGGGCTGGTCTTTTCTTTGCTTTGACTGCAACACTATATGTATTTGTCCTAACTTGATTGGTTACATACGCTGTTCTGCGTGACTTTACGGGTATGTCTATATCTGAATTTTCCTTAGCTGGCAAGCTGGGAAAATCCAATGGGTGCACATTGAATTTATTGTTATTTTTGACCTTAGGTATCTTCTCTGTTGCCTCAAAAAAAGATATATTTTCTAGAGACATCATCTCTCTTATTTTTTTTTGTCTGGTATACTCTGGACATTGCCTACTTGTACTATTGTGATTATCACTATCACAATGTACACATTTCATAATGCATTTTTGATTAAAATCGTGAATTTCAGCACAATTACTACATTTGTTATTTTTTGTTTTACATAAATTTTTTGTATGCCCATAATTCAAGCATTTGTAGCACTGAATCACTGGCATAATATAAGGCAGAACCCTATGCTCTATTCCACAAATTAAAACACCTCTTGGCAAAGATGTCCCAGTGAAGGTATAGCAAACAGTTCCAGTTGGAACTAAATTTACCACCTCACCACGATCTCCCCTTGCAGGTGTTTCCTCGCTTCCTTGACTATTACTACATGTATCATTAATAATCTTATCTGGCTTTACTTTTATTTTAAATCTCTTCACATTTATAATTTTACAGTTTTTAGTATTAGGTTCTGAGTATTTTAGCAAGACATCATCACTAAATTTTTTGTCAATAAATTGGATTATACCCTTGCATGTAACATTTTTGTTGGGTATAAATACATCATAACCTTTTTCTTTTAACAAATTATTTTGAAGAAAGTTATTTGCTGCATTTCTGTTTTTAAATTCCACACTAATTCTATTTATCCCCTTTTTGTGAGTCTTAAAGATATCATTTAGTTGTAAATCAAAGATTTCTCTTGCAATTGCTAAATAATTATAATTTCCAACATTTAACTGATCCTTCCTGGCTTCTATATATACTTCAAATGGCCCCTTATCATATATGTCGTATCTATTTGGAATATTTATCATATTTATTTTTTTTAACTCTTTAATTTCTTTCTCCACATCTTTCATTTCATTATCGTTTAATATATCTGGGGGCTTCTCGCCCCCAGACGTATCCCCCATTTTTTTTTTAGTTTAACTCTAATTAAAGAAGGTAACTTACCAAAATTTTCCAAATGTCAACTGTATAATTCAAGCTTTATGAATTGAATTTGAATCAAAGGATACTTGAAAGTTTAAAACAAAAGCATGCAGTCACCTAACCTATCAAATCAAAAATAATTATAAATTTTTCTTCAAATTTGGCTCTTATTTGACTTCCTTTTTTTTGTAAATACTTTCTATACTTTAAGTAAGAAACTTCAAGCTTCAGAAAACTATTATTTGGTTGGTAATTTCACAATATTCTCTCAGAGTCAACAATGTAGACTGTACTCTTCAAAGAAATTTTGACAACCCAAAATGAAATATCAACAAATTACTTTTTAATTCCAATACATTGCAAAGTAAGGTTAAAAAATACAAAACAAAGCAGACGTCAAGCATGTAGAGGTGGTTAATCCAAGTATTTTTGTGGATCAGGTCAAACTGATACGCGTAAACAAATATACCTGTTAAAAAATACTGGTTTGGAAATCAGTTTGTTATCATTCGTTTAATAGATATCTAAACATAACGACAACATTATTTGTATTTTGTTAGATTTCTTTATAGTTATTTAAATGACTGTTTAACTTCAAATACTAAAATTACTGTTATTCAGAGATTGTATAAAAAGTTCATAAAAAAATGGCGATAGTTTTGTCTACTTCACGCCAATTGTCATCTGTTGATATTTATCTAAAGCTTTGTAAACGTTGAGAAATGCACGATAAAAATTAAGGACAAATGCAATGAAACCCGTACTCGTTTATTATAATATATTGGTGTTAGGGATCAGTTCTACAAGTATAAATAAAATACATGTTCCAAAGTAACTGGTACGGGATCAGGTCACCATCCCTACACGCAGGTGACATATTGAAAAGATGGTGGATTTTGGTCGGCGCAGAAATGTGCAAAAACGAGTCCACCTATAATAGTGAGCATACCTTGTTTCCTTATATCATGCAAACTATCTAAAATGTCAAATGTCAAATAATTGTCATCAGTGATTAACCTGGAACATATGATTTTAGATTTGAGAATGTTTTAATAAATTAGACTTGTTTTCAACTATTAAAAGTTTCACCATGAAGACTATTATATTTACTTTTATCCTCTGCTTTAGTAGTAGTTGGGGACGTATACATAATTTCCAAATTTCCGTAAGTACAAATAATATTGCTTTATACATTTATAGGCAATGACTTAAATTTACCTGATATTTTTATCTTTGTTTTGAGTAGGATTACTGTAATAAACAAACGAGTACACAAGAGATGCGTACCTCAGTTTAACCTTTGATAGTTATTGTATATAATTTTGAATTTAGCTGAATTTAAATCAACCGTTTAAATAAGAGATTAAACTTAATAAAATGCAAATGAACAGTAACTTTCTTTCTGAAGGTTTCGATACACAATTTACAATTAATTAATACAACAATGATAAAATAATTTATAATAATAACATACAGATACATCTGTTAACAATTTAATTAGCTAGGAGAATGGAAATATTACAAATAAAATAGTTGTTGAATCAACCTAATTTAAACAATGAACTTAATAAAACCACATATTTGCATACATATCAGCATATATTAGTGATGACTCCATGCAATTTTGACCTCCTTGATATTAATGTCTCAAATATGAATATACACACTTTCACTATCAAAATTTCATTCTTCAGGATTGATAGACATAACTTACAGGGTTCCTCAGTTTTCATGGGATTAAAAAAATATATTAGGTTCTCTTAATAATGCATATGGAGAAGAGTTTAAAAAGACACAAAGAGAAATGTGTGGAAATTAGTGTTGAAACATTTGTAGTAACTACAAATTCACTCGAATTGAACACAAGGAACTAGAAAAAGAAGAAAATAGTGGCTTAATATAAACTTGATACTTTCTTGTATCTTTTGAAACCAATCCAAACAAAAATCAAAACAAGAGTAAAGATGCTGCTGTATTACAGGAAAATGATGGCAATTTTATTCTTTGTTAGTTGCTCTAACATATTTTTGTACCCTGATTATCAAATTGTTATTAAAGCAGGTAAATTTGATCAAACTCTAGTTGTAATTAGATACCAAAGGCAGATATCCCAAATATAATTGATTACAAACTTATATATGAATATAAATAGTACAAATAATAGATAAAAGGAACTCCACCTGTTCTTTTGACTGAAAGACTAATTTATATAGAGGTATTTAATACAATAAATGTGAATTGTTGCTTTTTGGGTAAGTTTTACAGAATAAATGCAAATTATTACTTTGTATATTTCAGAATGATGCCCGAAAAAACATTCCTTTGAGCAATTTTGGATTTTATAATGGTGGCTACTTGGAAATGGAACTCACCAACTTCACTGCATCTTTTTTAAACACTTCAAATTTGGTAAGTATTCTTTCTATTTCTGTTATCTTTCTGTATCTTATTGTTACTAAAGTAGATCGAGAACATTCAAGATAACATTGAAAATTCATGATATGTCTAGTGAAGTTTGGAACATCAGAAAATATATTATATTATAAACAGATGCATGTATTAGTTGTACTTGCAGTTTTTAAGTTTATAGTTGTCAGTCATTTAAAGTAAGTATTATAAACAAGTTGGTGTTCAATAAAAGTACACATAAGTCATCTATTTCTGTTTTAATGTATTAGCCCCTTTGTAAACTTTTGACGTTAACTGTTAGTTTTTTTAACTTCTTGGTTATCTAATCTTACATAAACTAATTCCAATTCTTAGTTCGATATATCTGTGTGGGCCCTAGCCTACCCAAGAATTTCTCTCCAGTAGTTCCTATTCATCGCCTTCCTCCTCCAAGCATGTATTGGTGACTGACCAATGGATCTATCAAGGAGCATTTTTCTAGCTGGATAAGTTTGTTTCAACTAGATTACATGCTCTACTCACCTTAGACATCCTATGTTAATGTATTTTACAATATCAGGTTCCTGGTATATTCTATTAAGTTCAAGTTGTGTTCACTTCTCCATACTCCCCACTCTCAGAGAATAGGATATCAAATATAAATACTACTGGCTTCTGTTATACTTTATATGCTTGGGTTTTATGTAAATTCTTTGGGAACCCTTAGAATTATTCTCATAACTCTATTTTTGAGTTTCTGTAATTGAGAAGTATGGTTCAATTTTGATGTAAACACCACTACTCTTGTCAATATTGACAAATCTTTTTATAATTCTTGAAAAAAAAATATTCATCATCATCATCATCCAGCCCTTTGTGTCCACTGCTGGACATAGGCCTCCCTCATTTTTGTCCATTGTGCTCTGTTTTGGGCACTTTATATCCAATTTCTTGACATATTTTTGAGATCGTCAGTGCATCGTGTAGGGGTCTTCCTCTACTTCTTTTGTCTAATCTCGGCCTCCACTCAAGCAATCTCTTCGTCCACCTTTCATCACTGGTTCGGGCGATGTGTCCAGCCCAGTTCCATTTCAGTGTGGCAATTCGGGAAATTACATTGGTAACTAATGTTCTTCGTCTTAGGTCTTCATTTCTAACTTGGTCACGAAGCGATATACTTAGCATTGATCTTTCTATTTTCCTCTGAGCTACTTGCAGCGTCCTAGAACTTGTAGCTGTCAATGTCAAAGTTTTGGCACCATAGGTCATCACAGGCAACACACATTGGTCAAATGTTTTACGTTTCAAAGAAATTGGTATATCGCTTTTAAAGATGTCTTTGAGTTTTCCATAGGCTGCCCATGCTAGGTTTACCCTTCTTCCTAGTTCGCATGTATGGTTGTCTCTTGTGATCTTTATTTCGTGTCCAAGATATATGTATTTTTCCACCAGTTCTACTTTGTTGTCTCCAATATTGATATTTCAGCTAGCTACTAGGTTTGTCATGAATTTTGTTTTGGAGATGTTTATTTTAAGACACACACTGGCACACACTAACTGAAGCTCATGTAGCATTGTACATATCTACTTGAGGTTGTCCGAGAACAAAACTATGTCGACGACAAAAAAAAATTAATAATGAGAAATGTAATTTAAATTGTTATTAAAATGTTAATGAATTATTCAATAGAAATCTCAAACACTTTAGTTTCCCTGTATTACCCAAATCCCAAACAGTTTATCAATAGCAGTATTCATTCTATTATGAAATCACAGTTAATGACATGATGGATGGTGGAATGAGATTGTGGATAAACAGAACGACCAATATTGACATCTTACATATAGTTAATAAAAATGACGAAGGGGTTCAAAATGTTTAAGAGTGAAAGCTTGAATATTTTGCTATAGTTCATTATGGAAGGTAAAAGAGATATAAGATGAACCTTTTGGCTGTAATATCTGAGAGAATGGTTCAACTTAAGCTCCATCCAACTTTTTAAAGTTCCATAACCACATAAAGTTATGTGGTTATTCCATTCTTTTTTTCTATTTTGTGTCCGTTCATTTATACACTGTATGTTACATTTTCTTGTAATGTCTTCACATGTCTTTCAATCTCTCAGCATATTTCCTATTTGCTTTTTGTACTTGATCCCTTACTTCTTTGTCCAGATCTCCATAGATAGACAGTGTAATGCCCTCATTTTAAAGTTGTGGTATTGATGATCATTGGCATGGTACAGTCAGGTACCTAGTGTAGTGTGTGTGTAGAGTAATTGTCTTGATACTTAGCAAAGTCGACGTCATTGTCTTTGCTCAGAGACGCTAATTGTATCCGATCGTCTGCGGTCCCTCCGGTGAGTACCGATCGCACAAGGATAGAAATATTTTCATTCATTAATTTTTAATAAACGAAAATTTCTCCACCCAGGTGAGATTCGAACTCACGACATTTAGGTTTAAAGGTAGGCGCTCTTACCACTGTGCCACAGAGGGGGTTTCATGTTAATATTGAGCCTTCAATAGAAGACAGAACTTTAGGAAGAAGTTAATGAGAAAGTGTGTATCATTTAAACATGGAAGTGGTCCTAAGACGCTACACTGAGGAACACTCATGCTAATACCAATTATAGAAGAAATAATATCATTTATTTTCACTTTTTTCTTCTATTAACCTAATAGTCTGTTACCCAGTTCATTGTACGAAGATAATACCATAATCTCTTAATTTTGCCAACAGAATATTTCTGTCTACTGTTGCGATTGCCCTTTTTAAATTACAAAAAAAAGAACAACTATATATTTATTATGGTCAATTTATCTTTTGAAATTACTCAACGCTAGTTCTAAAGTCCTTTTGCACAGTTGTTTTTCCTAAAACCAGAACGATTTTACTTTTAAGACATCGCATTTTCCAATATGTTATAAAATTTGGTTAGAAAATGCCAATTCTATAATTTTTTTAAATATATACACCTTTTTTTAGATGTATCTCACAATAAAATATCATAACCTAAGCTATGTGCCTAATAATATGTGTGAATATTATTTGTTTAATTTGGATAGTACTCCCAATATTTGTTGCATTAATTATTTTTATTTTTAATAATTTTTTTAATAGCATACTAATAGATAGACAGTTTGGTTTCAGTTTGGATAAGACAATCAATGATGGAGTCAATCCCTATCTTGATGGGCATGATGACACATGCATTTTGAAGAAGGACTTGGGAAAACCACAAACTGAAGAAATCATTCTGTTTATTTTAGATTTAAAAACGAATCAGTAAGTATTTTTTGTGCTCTATAATCTTTTTTTGTGTATGCATGGAACAAATGTTTAGGAATTGTAACGATTTCTTTTTCTTAAATACTTGTACTATATACACTAGCTCAAAATAGTGAAGAGCCATGAGGTGCACTGATGTTAGAAAAAGAAATACAGACAGAGATGGACATCTTTTAAAAACTCAGCACATTGTTGCCAAGTCTTGTCCAACAGTTTGTTATAATATAATTTATTTAAAATGAGAATACAATTTATATTTACTTATTATTTGCTGTGGACTTTCAATAATCAAAGTATGTTGAAGAAAGGAAAATGCATTAAAAGAGAATGCTATTTACCTTTAAATAGGATGTTTGGTAAGCCAACACAGGTACAAATATTCTTCTTCTTCTTCTTTTATGTAAACATGACTGTCTGTTTTTCAATGTGCCTCCAGTAAGTTATCTTTCCATTGTTTTCGTGGTATTTCCATTGGGAAACCGTCTCTTGCCGTCTTTACTACTCTATTAATTGTCATTCGGCTTATATGTTCGTTCCATTCTACTCTTTTATTTCTTACCCAGTCCTTGATGTTCTCCACCTTGAAACCACCTGTCCCATAAATTGTTTCCATAAATTTTTTTAAGTGTTTTCATCTCTGCTGTTTCTAACATCCTTTTTGTCCTCTCTGTGTCAAGTCGTGTTTCTGCCTCGTATATCATTATTGGTCTAATCACTGTTTTGTAAATTCTGCCTTTCATTTCTTGCTCGATATTTTTATCACTCCATATTGTTTCATTCAGGCAACCTGCGTCTCTGTTAGCTCTATTCACTTAATCTTTCACTTCTGTTTCGAGCTTTCTGTAGCTATATAATTTGATTTCTTTTTTAGTTCTTACTTTTTTATTATTTCATCCATAATCAGGTTGAACAATAGAGGTCTTATCCCATTGCCAGCTTAAATAGGGTCAGTTAGTGCTTCTTTTACTTATATTGTGGTGTTTTGGTAGATATTTCTTGCATACAATAAGTGGATAACGTCCTTTAAGTTGACCTGGTCAAATGCATTCTTAAGGTCCACGAAACATATATCTGCCGGTTTGTTGTATTCTAATGATTTGCACTTGCCTCATTATAAATATAACTTCGATCTATGATCTTTCTGACCTAAAACCTTTTTGTTCTTCTGCTAATGTTCTAATTTTTTTATTGCTGGTTGTTAATTTTAATGTTTAATAAATTAATTCCTATGTAATTTCCGGGTCCGATTTGTCTCCCTTTTTGAAGAGATATATTAGGATGTTTGATCTTCATTCTTAAGTAATTCGGTTTTGTTCTATCAGAACTAATTGTCAGATTTGGTCGTCCATACTTTTGGAGTTCGTTCAGTATTCTGTTCTCTCCTGATGATTTTCTGTTTTTTTAATTACTTTAATGCTTCCTTTACCTCTTCCTCCTCAATATTTATTTCTTCGTTTGCCTTAACCTCTGGTGTTGCATTAAATTGCATTATTTTTATTATTATTATTATATTAAAAACAAATGTACATTAAGAAAAAGTTGATAGAAAACCATTATGCAAAAAATGTAAAAACAGACAGTCAACATAGGGCTAAGTAAATAACCCAAAAATAAAATGACACATAGTTAAAAACAAATTTCTTTTTTCAGACTAGCGATAAAGTGTAAAGGGAAACAAAAACATGTACACATTTCCACACAGAGGAATGACAATGACAAGTTCAATGAAAAGCCTGATTGTTCAGATCTTAGTCTAGACCTAAGTTTTGTAGAGCGTAATGGACATGTTTATTACAATACATCAGTAAGTATAACTAATATATAAGGTATGATTATAAATTAATAAGATTCTTTATATACTTTAATTAAAAGTTGGTAATTTTGAAGGATTATTAGGTTAACTAAACCTCATCTAACTTAACATAACATAATCTAACTAAAACCAAAGAATATAGACGCATATAGAAGGACAGTTCAAATGGGCTATTTGGTTACAGTTATTATACTTGAAAACATTGCTTAAGAGGGCAGCTGCATAAACTCAAACCGTGGCCGTCTGCTTAAAACCATCATGAAAGATGTAGTTAAGTGGAAGTGGGAAAGTTGTACGAACGGAGCTATTTATTTAACTTATGCATCCACGCTTAATCAAATTTCAAAGCCATTGATTTGCTAACTGTCTTTTTTGTCTTTTTTTCACAATAAAATCTTTATTTTTAATATATTAAATTGTTAAATTTTTACTTTTAAAACTTAAAAATGTATGAAATTTGAAATATTCAAAGTGTTTATTTTTTTTATTACATCTAAATAAAATGTTATAACTTTGAATTAAAATTATGTTTGTTCCAACATTACGAAAAACCGTCACGTAACTTTTTATTATACTGTTTTTCCTGCCCAAAAATTTGCGAAACATTTTAAAAAAAATTCAAAATATTTCATTTTTGAAATTTGCTTGAGCTTGATCTAGTTGAGTATTAGGATGGGAACGAGCAGACCTAGTTTGCTCGTTAGATCCCCTTGGTTTCTTAGCAACTCTGTTACGAGAGGGTGATGGTATCTTCCCGAAGTCTCTTTTTATCCTTGGGTGCCGACTATATGCGTCTATATTGTTTGCAAAACCCTGATATAGAAACTGTTATTTATCGCTACAAAGCTGAGGTAAATTTTTGTGATCAATATAGTGCCAGAAGTATTTTTTATGACATTTTCATAACATATTTCATATTTTCTTTTATGTCACTATGATATTGACATAAAAGTACCTACTTATCAAAAGTCAAGCTATTTTTAGCACTCTTTTTACATTTTTCCTCATTTTGTATTAAATTTGTTATGTAAAATAGGCTGATGAGACCAAACTGATGATTTCTTCAATCTATCCGATTTTGTCTGAAAGGACAACTCATGGATTTGGCTTTAGCTCTGCCTTTTATCTTTGTTTCCATCTGTTCCATGACCAGCATCTACAATGATATGATCAATTTGCAGAAGATGACTATATTTATGTCACTTATGTATGTTAATACGTCGTTATATTATAGCACAGTACTTTGTTATCGTTTTTGTAAAGCAAAGCAATGCAAAAAAAATAATGATTAAAACTATGTATTTATCTATTTTGGTTTTAGTTTGTGATGAATGTTCAAACTTTAGAAGAAGAAGGACTGTACACCTTGATATTCCACAACTGTCCCCTGAACGAAAATGTAGAGACTCATGTGGACTTCAATATCAAAATCGTGGAGTACAATCCGAGCAGTTATCTTTCAGCGGGAGACATGCCATTACCCGCGCTCTACTGCATGATGTCCATTCTGTTTCTGCTCTCAGGAATGTTTTGGGTGTTCTTATTGAAGCAGTCAAAACATCCGGTGTATAAAATCCATTACATGATGGCCGTACTCGTATTTCTTAAGGCTATTACCTTGGCTTTCCACGGAGTTAATTATCACTATATCGAAAGACTTGGTGTACATCTGGCTACATGGGCGATATTGTTTTATATTGCACATTTATTGAAAGGTATGTATACATATTAGTAGCCGTTTAATGATACTAAATTCGAGAAGAGGACAATGCATTAATTCCTGAATCTCGCAGTGAAGAACTAATATTTTTATGTTAAAAATTATGTAGATTTTTATTTAATACAGTACTATTATTATATTTTATTTAATATTTATATTTTATTTAATGCAGTTATTAATTCAGCTGAATTAATAGATTGTTTTTTGTTTTGACTCATATTAATGTAGAATTTTTTTATAGGTGCGCTGTTATTCGTCATACTAGTGTTGGTCGGTACAGGATGGACTTTTGTGAAACACGTTTTAACACCGAGAGATAAAAAGCTGTTTATGGCTGTCATACCTCTACAGGTTTTAGCCAATGTTGCTGATATTATACTGGAAGAGAGTGAAGAAAGCGCTCGAGAATATGTAGCTTGGAAAAATTTTGTCATTTTGGTGGATTTATTGTGCTGTGGATGTATTTTATTCCCTGTTGTATGGTCAATTCGTCATTTGCAGGTAAAGCTTTCATTTATAATCAGATTTTCAAATATAAAACTTCAGTAAACTTCTAAGTCAAATTTATTGTCAATCTATTGTGATTATTTTTTCATCACATTATTGTGATGAATAAAGTTGCGTTCACATTATCATTGTGAACATTTATAGAGTTGTCAGATGGTTCATGAAGTATGAAAATTAACAGAAAAGAACTGAAGTAAACAAAAAAGGTGAAGGTAGCAAATTTCACACTATATTAAATGGAATTTGTAAGGTAGTTACTGAGTTACCAAACAATAAATATATTCAAAATAAAACCACAAGTAATAAAATAATTTTTTTTAATAATGAACGTATTTTCAAAGACAAAACATGACAAAAAAAAACAACATCAACGAACTAATTTTCTGAATCTGATTCCACATTTTCCACATTTCAGGAGTAATCATGTAAAGTGCCTCATGCCACATGTTTAGGCAGTTGTTAGTACTGTTACCATCTCTACCAATGTGCCTATTGTAATAATTTTTTGCTATGCCCCAAATTAATTCAATAGGGTTAAAGATACAATGGTAAGGAGGAAGACGTAAAACTTTGTGTCCATACCGTTCTGCCATATCGTCCACTATATACTTTGTTTGTGGTTTATTTCTAAAAAAATGTTTAAAATAAATGACATTTATATGTAAGATTATATCTGTATATTTACTGAGAAACGATGGGCACCAGTTCTGTTTTGAACATTATGTGGGAATAGGGAAAGTTTTATTTCTGTCAACCACTCCTCAATATCACTTTTTGACCATCCTGTATTCGGAGTTTTATGCAATAACATACAGTGATTCTCTAAGTTTTGCAGCAACTGATATTCAAACCATTTCAAGAAATTTGCCTGGTTCATTTCCCCATGATAATCACTAAGTTGAGTTTTTGAACAAAATATTGCTTCAGCACTCTATAAATCCGGTTTCATTTCCAGCATGGAGCTATCTCCAAACCTTTTGCCATCCGTTTTAGTGGTTTTAACAATATTTATATTTTCATTTTGCCAAGAATGACCAATGATCCCATTTTGAAATATTCAAGTTTCATCGAGAAACACGAATTGGTATATACTTTCATCCTTCGCTTCTTTATAAGTTCTCAAGAATTGTACTCTTTTACAAACAACGCAATGTTAGGTAAGTCCATAAGTCCTCGTCGTGGATTATTCTTCATCCACTCAAACCCAGTTCTTTGAGCAATCTTTTTAAAGAAGTGGTACTACTATTTAATGATTCTTTATCTTTCAATAGAGCTTGTATTTAAAGTTGTATTTCTTACTCGTTTATTAGTGCAACGCTTTTTCTTTGGTGACTCGAACTGTTCACCTTTTTTCTGCATTTGACATATGCTGCTATTGTTCTTACTCTGATTTTTAAAGCTACACGCTAAAATAATACAAGTTTTTGTAAAGTAAAGTAATGATATTTTATTCGCATATTACCTCTTTCACAGCGTTTAATGGTAACAAAGGGCCATTCTTATTCCTTTCTTCTTCAAAATAGTTAACTAATGAAGCTACAAGTTCTTTGCATCTACTATTCAGCTGTTTGGACATGGTGACAAATAAATAAATGTTTTTCACAAGATAACCTCAAAAATCGATGATACCACGAGTACAAAAGTCACAGAACACTGATTGAAAACTCAACAAACGACGCGGCAACATGACAATATTTCTGATAGTGACTAATACTCCGTCATTAATTGATGGTTTCTTCATGAACATTGAGCGAAGAGGCAGGTGTGTTTGTCCTTACACCTTGTCCTGATGCCTTTGTTTCGCGCACCAGTCATAGGTGGTTTTTTCCCTTGTGGAACAAATTTTTTTCCTTAGGGAAATAGGTTCAATTTGTATACTTCTTTGAAGGACCACCTAGAAAACTGGGACAAATGAAAGTTTCGAAAAGAACGTTTTAACAAGTCTATTTAAACAATTACAACGTATTTTGGACGCCGATAACTTGCTTACGATAGCTGATTTATGAAACTGAAAAACTAGATAACTTTTCGGTGCTAGAATATTGACACAAACTGAGTAAATTTATTAATATCCCTACTGTGTTAAACCTTCTGAAGTGCGGCTGGCGCGAGCAGGAGACTAGCGCTCATCCAATGCTGGATTTTGAACTGGTACTGATCACTTCCTTCAATCCCTCGGCTCGTAATTTTCTTAACATTGAGAAATCTCCCCCTTGACCCTCGACGTATATGACGGATATGTTTACATTTCAAATACCTTCGACTTTCATTTTATTGGTAAAATTACCTGAGGAGGGTATTTTTCAACTTTCGTTAATGTTGGGAAATTTCAAATGACTCAAACCGATAATTTGGAATTACTAATCCTTTCATTGTTATGATTCTTTGACGATTTTAGAAGCTTATGTCTAGAAAGTTATTTGAATGCAAGCTATCGACGCCGTACAGATTATTAAATGGTACAAAAGAATTTTATAAATCTAAACTAATATACAGTGTGATATAATGATATGATACAAAAATAAAATAAAAATATTAGATTTTGTTGTTACGCAACAAACATTTCAACACAAAATGTTACAATGAGGGACGTCTAAATCCAAAAAAGCTATATTGTATATACATTATTTTGTTACAAAAGTTTTTTATTGACCGATTTATTTTTAGAAGTGATTGTTTATGAAACTAAAGTAACATACACTTTTCTATAGAAATGTAGCCACACATACAATAGAATTACGACCTTGGTGACGAGCACGCAACTTTATTTGGCTTTTACTGTATATTCGTATATTCAGAATGCATATTTATGTACAGATGTTTTAGTTGTTGGTATTTAAGTTACGTCAGTCTTAACCTAACCTAATCTAAGCTAAGCCAACTTAACCAATCGGATCGTACAAATCTTCGAATTAGACGTAACTACGTCATCTAGATGGCGTAGTTACGTCTGTATATATGTAGTTATTTTGATAACTATTGTCTACGACGGGAATAGATTTTGTTTCGATACAGAGTAGTGGCTATACCGCTCTGAGGAGAGCCAAACAGGTCGAAATACGTATAAGCGGCTTATCGCTGCTCTGTACCGAAACAAAAATGTAGTACCGTCATTATGTTTTATTTTTTTACTCCGTTTGGAGTACCAGAAATTGAATTCACTACGAATTTTGACCATGATGAACGGCATGTGGAATGCAATTTTTAGATTCCCTTGCCGAGTAATTTATCAAGCTGCTTGCTTTGCAAGTTTTAGAAAGCACAGTGGTAAAAATTTGAATTCGATTTCGCCAGGTAGAAATCGTATGATTTCTCTTTTTATTACTATAAATTTAGTGGTACATCATGAAAAATTACTACCAAAAAAATAATGAATTGTAATGAAGAATTAGTATGATTAAATTTAAGTACAAAACCAACTGGTACGAAATATTCATGATCACTAATTTCTCACTATCTCTTAAAGCTCCTGTGATATTTTATATAAGAAATTTAAAAGTGACATAATAAATTATTACAGTACAAACATAGTAAAACTATGGAGCGAAACTCATTGCACTATGGTAAAGTTGGATGACTAAGTTGAGGTTTTATCAAGCGAATTTTTTTTTCGTCTTTTGAGTGGTATGACGGATCACTAAGTACGGCATTTACGTGTTTAAGATTACTGTTTTGGCGATGAAAGTAATTTAAGAAATAGAACAAATTCATGTACTTATCTTATAAATAGAAATGACGGACGAATAAATATCTACTACTCTCATATAAATATTGCTGAAAATATTTGATTTTACCTTTACACATTGTTTTAGGAAGCATCGCAGACGGACGGCAAAGCTGCGATAAATCTTAGAAAGCTAAAACTCTTCCGCCATTTTTATGTCATGATCGTTTGTTATATATACTCAACAAGAATAATCGTCTATCTGTTGAAAATAACCGTGCCGTTCCAGTACGGTTGGCTGCATGAAATGTTTAAGGAAATGGCAACCTATGTGTTCTTCGTTCTCACAGCGTACAAGTTCCGACCAGCTTCTCAGAATCCGTACTTCGTGTTGAACTATGACGACGATGATGAGATGGATCAAGTGTAAGTAAATTGATTTTATTAATTGTAATATAATTAATATAAAGTTTTTTTTGTTCCCTGGGCCCAACTGATCCAAGATCTCCGTTACCACTTGTTGTTTCCTACACCCAGTCTAGAATTGTTGTACACTGTTTAAGTTTGTAGAGGAATTTCGCTTGGTGTGTCCTAAATATACCAGAATCTCCTCTTGCTTTCAGTATAGTCTGTGTCTTTTGTGGTCCAGCACCTCATAGTACCTGTTTTATAGTTTCTGGTTCCTCATATAGGTTGTAAATACCTATTTTACGTTCCCGGTTAAGATTACTGTTACTGTTCTCAGTTTATTCCTGTCCATATGCAGCAGTTTCTCTGCTATTTTTGTACATGTTGTACCAATAAAGATTTTCTGATTTGTTTGTTTTGTCTCTTCCACTATCGCTCATGCCTTTCTTGGATCCAGTCCTCTAAAGCCTTTCGGACTGCAGCCTTTGTTGCTCTCAAGGTCAAACCTAGTCCCTGTTTTGTTTGAACCTCTTAGCAAGTACATCTGTTTTTTCGTTGTGTTCGATGTCTTGATGCCCTACAACCCTGTTCCAGTCTCCTAGTTCACTCAGTTCTCCAATGCAGTCCTACACCAGTCTCGACGTCACATCTTGACACACAAGTACCTCCAGTGCCGTTTGATTTACAAACACAACTATTTGGGTATGCAGCGGAAGATAGGACAAACGACAAAGAAGTACTGTTTTTAGTCTACCAAGCTTTCGCAAATCTTTATTTGCATCATCAGGTTGCTACAATAAACAAAATTAGTACAAATTACAGAATAAAAAAGTATTTTGTATCTTACACTAATTGAGGTTAGTTGTCATGGTGTTTATAAATTGAAATGGACAACTCATACACATATTGCTCAGAAAAATCATCTTTAACACATCCTCTGTTATACTTAACACACAAGTGAACCCTACCCAAAATACAGGTGCTCTGAAAGTTAGCTCTGATTCTCATTCACTGACTAACAATATTCCTAAAATATCTTTTGTATCACTTCCATTTATTAAGGATGTCTCTCCCAAATTGATCAGAATTTTTGCTCAATACTTACCGAATGTAAAAATTGCTTATAAAAGCACTCTAGTTGTTGAGTCTTTATACAAGTCATTGAAAGACAAAGTTCCTAACTTAAATAAAAGTGATGTTGTATACAAACTTCGTTGTTTAGGCTGTGAATGTTCGTATATAGGTCACACCTCCCAAAAAGTTTCCAGCTGTTTGACTCTTCACAAGAGTGAGATTAGGTTACACCCCGATCGATGTTCCCTAGCCACACATGCTAACACAACAGGGCACTTTTTCGATTTTTCAAATGTAAATCCACGGACAGCAATTTTTCAAAAAGATTGTTTCTCGAGATGGCTTTCATTTTTCAAGAAAAAGAAACCATTAATAAAAAGACAGATACCAACAATTTAAGTAACTTATACTCATTATTGTTGACTTTAGATAACCACAAATCTACCAATAAAGGTAATGCATCGTCAACAATATAAGTTTCATTATATATGAGATATATAATATATGATATATAGTGCGATATATAATAATATCTTAATACTTCAAAATAAGCCTTTTGCCTATCCTTCTTTTTCAGAAAATTCAGCATCTATTAGGTAGACTATTACCTTAACATTGTTATCATTTTAAGATCTAACGTTCTGTCGTTTTAAGTTGGGTATTAATGCATTCACAGATATGTTTTTTTAAAAGAACGTTTTATTCTGTAATTTGTACTAATTTTGTTTATTGTAGCATCCTGATGATGCAAATAAAGATTTGCGAAAGCTTGGTAGACTAAAAAGAGTACTTATTTGTCCTATCTTCCGCTGCATACCCAAATAATTGTGTTTGTAGTTTAACTGATCAGCGTAGATTACAAGCGTTTATCGATTTATCAGTATATATATATATATATATATATATATATATATATATATAATATATATATATATATATATATATAAAGGAAGAATGATCACAGCTGTCCAATTATTAATTAGTATAATGGTAAGGTTAATTGGGTTAGCAGCTGAATAATGAAAGCCAAAGTGTGCTCTTTTCAACGACTTCGTTATATTTCGTTAAATTTCTTTAACATCTTCAGACGAATGTTGTGTGAGGTTGCAGGCAAAAGTGGTATTTGAAAGTTCCATGTTGAAAAACTTTTTTGAAGATTTTTTTTTTAAAGCGAAAAAATAAGTTGTATGTGTTATATGGTGGCTTGAAAACTCAAACAATACAAGTGCATTTTTGTTATTTTCCTCCAGTGTGATAGTACAATACAAATATTAAAAAACATTGAACATTTAAGAAACAAAACAGTTAAAACACAACTACATATCACATTGTCATTTTTTGTGTTGAAAAAATGACAATGTGATATGTAGTTGTGTTTTAACTGTTTTGTTTCTTAAATGTTCAATGTTTTTTAATATTTGTATTGTACTATCACACTGGAGGAAAATAACAAAAATGCACTTGTATTGTTTGAGTTTTCAAGCCACCATATAACACATACAACTTATTTTTTTGCTTTAAAAAAAAATCTTCAAAAGAAAAGTTTTTCAACATGGAACTTTCAAATACCACTTTTGCCTGCAACCTCACACAACATTCGTCTGAAGATGTTAAAGAAATTTAACGAAATATAACGAAGTCGTTGAAAAGAGCACACTTTGGCTTTCATTATTCAGCTGCTAACCCAATTAACCTTACCATTATACTATATATATATATATATTATATATATATATATATATATATATATATATATATATATATATATATATATATATATGTATCGGATATTTTTAAAGTGCTCTCTCATTATTTCTTTTTAAAAACAGTGCAATTCCTAGCCAAACCAAAGCTTTTACTAAATCTTGGATTTTTGGAGTATATCACTGCCCCGAAACCTTTCCAGATTTGGATCCGTCTGTATACCAGATCTGACCTTGTTGGTTATTGTATTCTTTATTTCTCATACATGCCTGTCTGGGATAGACACCCAGTATGAATTCTTAAAATTATATCTTTTTGTCATGCGATTCGATTCCAGAATAAAGATGTCCTTCGTCAAAGTTCTTGTGATATTCGTATGCTCTGTCCCTTTCGCAGTTTTCACTAATGTTAAACAATTATCTCGTAACGGTTACCTTTAGATTAGATTAGATTAAGAGAGGTGGCCTTTCGGCCTATTCCACTGCGACCTTTTCAGATCTATTGTGGTCCTCTAGTCCTAGATAACATTTTCTAGCCTGACCCTTTTTATAAAGTTTAGTAGCTTCGAGACTATCTTCCATGTAGCTATTTGTCTGTGGATTATCTTCTAATGCAAAGAACCGCACATTGGCCAGACTGTCACACTGACATAAAATGTGCTGTGCTGTTTCTTCTTCGAGGTGAGAGAATCTGTACAGGTTATCATCTGATAATCCCATCAGCTTCAAGTGCCTATTCAGCTTACAGTGCCCTGTTAGAAGACCTACTATGGCTTTGACTGTTTCCCTGTCTTTGCTTATTAGGTCTGCCGTAAATTTTGGCGAATGTTCTGTAATGAACTGCTTCGCCTGTCTTTGTCCTGATGAACTCCTCCATCGTTCCAGAGATTTGTGAGTTACCTATTTCCTTCTAGCCGTTCTTGTTACTGACTTTGCAACGCCGCAGAAGGGTTCCTGTCCAACGAATGGGAATGATCATGTTTGGCCATTTCATCTGCTTTTTCATTGCCCTTATGACCCTCGTGCCCCGGTACCCAGGCTACAGTAACCTTGCTACGGTCTCCTAGTTTATTTAGGGCACACACGCAATCCCATACTAGCTTAGAATTGACCTCTACAGAATTGAGTGCCTTAAGCATCTATGAAGATGGCATCTGAACAGAACGTTCTTTCCTGCCTTTCTATTTCTTCCACGCAGTGATGGATTGCAGTTATTTCCGCTTGGAAAACTGTCACATCCTTAGATAGACTTACCGGGAAATGTATCCCTTTGATTTGTCACTACGTCACTATGCCGGCTCCCACAACCTCCGATGTTTTTGAGCCATCCGTGTACCTGGTAGTAGCAGCTTGTATGGGTACACCTTTATTCCAGTCTTCCCTGCCTGGTATCTTAATTGTGAACTTCTTGTTAAAGCTATATCTCGTAGCTGTTGCATCGATAGGCATGCTAGCCTTTGTATATTACCTAGCAGCCTTATTGCTCCAGTTGCTGCGTCTTTGTCCACCACGTCACCGAGCCATAGGTTATCATGGGTCTAATAACCCTTGTATATAGCCATATAGTCATTTTGGGGTTAAGTCCCCAATTCTTACCGCACATTCTTCTACATCTGCCCAGGGACATAGTAGCTTTCTGTGTGGTTTTTAGAATGTGAGTATTCCATGTAAGCCTATGATCAAAATATACCCCAAGGTATTTTGTTTCTTTGGCAAATGAAATTTCTGTTCTTCCCAGCACCGGTCGTTTTAGGCCGTGTAGTGCTGTTTTGTGGTGAAGTTGACGATTTGTGTTTTCTGAGCATTGACTATCAGTATCTCTTGTCTTGTTGACGTCGTCAACTATATTTAGGGCTGCTTACATTCTCTCAGACACCACCTGAGCAAACCTGCCCCTGACAATGATTGCTATATCGTCAGCATATCCTAGACAATAAAAGCCTTCTGTGGACAGATTTCTGAGGAGATCATCTACCAAGGTTGCCCAAAGTTGAGAGGATAGAACTTCTACTTGTGGACAGTCCCCACCTACTTTTGCTTTGATGGTTGCTTTACCCAGAGTGGACATTACTGTCCTATTCTCCAGGGATGCCCTTATCCATCTGCATATTACCGCAGGTGCGCCTAGTCTAATCATAGCTTCTATCAAAAAGCTGGTGGTAACATTATTAAATGCCCCGTCTATATCTAAAAAAGCGGCCATTGCTATCTCTTTTTCTTCTACCGACTTTGAAATGAGCTTATTTAGATCATCTAACGCAGAGTCCGTAGATTTACCAGTTTGCTATGCATATTGACGATTGCTTAGAGAATGATCTTTTAGCACTTCGTCTCTGATGTACCTTTCAAGAAGCTTTTCCAGCGTTTTTAATAGAAAAGAAGATAGGCTTATCGGTCTATATGACTTTGGTGTTAGGTCTGATACTTTACCTACCTTAGGCAAGTATTTGACCTTTTGCCATATTTCCGGTACGACCCCCCATGCTAAACTGGCTTTGAGGAGCTTGCATAGGTGTGGCATCAATACCTCTAATCCCACATGCAACAATATTCGATATATGCCATTCGTCACTGGAGACTTATGTGGCCGAAACTTATTTATAGCCCATCTAATTCTGTTTGGTCTTATGATTGCTGTGGCTATTTCCCAATCTGTGGATCTTGGCCTAGTGAGCCTTTTTTATCATCCAGAATTGTTGAGCCCAGAAAGTGCCTGTTTATCAGTTCTCTAAGACTCCCCTCTTTGGTGTTCGTAAATTTGCCATTAGCTTTCTTAAGGTTACCCTTAGTTGCTCATCCAATTCCTGTACTGTTTACATAACTTTAAAGATCCAAAATTTTTTTTACAGACTTACCGAATCGGGTGCCACCGAAGGACTGAAGAAAGTAAACTCCAGGCACGCGAAACCGTCTCTACATCAAACCTTCGAAGAGATCAACGAAGAGGAAAAGGACCTCTTACTGAGCCAAAAAGAAAGTAGTCATGAATACGATTAAAACGATACTTTTGTTGTGAATATTTCGCCTAGTTTTCTACTGTGATACCAACTAATGCTAAGTTTGTACATGATTAGTAACAATGCCAGCAAGCTGTCGAAAGGTAGTACCGTATACCTTATATTTAGAAGACATACAACGATATTTTTATGTATGAGTGTGTACAAAAAGTAAATCATTACTATTTATATCACAAAAGCATTAATGTCTCCATTCATCATATAAAACCAAACATACAAAAATAAGTGTCATCAAAGTTAGACCTGTTCCTGAGGATTAAAGAGTAAAAACTTCAAAAATAACCATATATGGTATACGGTACATGGTATAAGTTAAATATGGTGCAAACTAGATAAAGGAATGTTCAACAAATACAGAAAAAAGTAAGCATCGTTTCGGCATCTACGAGTATACCTCTTCAGACCATTCGTAACATTTGAACACTTCACACTTTGTTGGCGGTCCTCTTTTCCACGAATATTTGGGCACAATTTAGAAATGTCGAAACGAAGCTCTAATATAACAAATACTGACTGTTAACCTCTTTAATTCATTTTTGCAACACATAAATAAATTTTTATAACGATATAAATACTTTTTTTATCACATAATTCTCAACAGGTAGGTAGGCTTACACGAAGGGGACTTTAAGGGATCTGTACAACAGTCTGAATGTTTGAAAGTAAAGAATTACGACGGGTTTTACAGAACGAGAGTCAGCATTATTTCCTCTGTTGTGATTTTGGAACTGTTCAAAAATGTTGCGCCCATCTCTATTTTTAGCAGTTCCTAAAGTAGTTATATTAGTTCTTGGTTTCAGCAATTGTTTTTTTTGTTACTTATAATATAAATATATGTTAAACTATCATTGTACTTCCCAGACGTACATGAATTAATTGAATATTGAATAACCAATACTTTTATCGACTAGAATAATTATAAAATAAACAAAAATAAAAAGTAAAGTGGTAGCGCAAATTAGTTGGACCAAATATTTAGTTAGCGTTACCACTGTGTGCGTTACCCTTACGTTTTAACGATTTAAGGCGTAGAAATCAGTTTTTTCTTTAAAAACACATGATTTTGGATTACTCTTTTGACACCACTTGAATTCCAACTTTTTTCGAAAATGAAATATCTAGATGGTCCTTGTTATTATTTACTTTTTATTTACTCTTCTATAACAGTTTTTGTTACTATAACAGTAATACTGGTAAAGTATCCTACATAAATGCTGACTGGTAGCTATTTTTACCGCTTAACGGCTTTCAGATTGGTGCAAGGTTAGATTAATGCTTTAGGTTGGAAAAATAACAGTGGTAAATATAGCTTCCACTTACACTTAAAGGGTTAAAACGGCATCAATTTTCTTTTGTATAGTGCCTACTAATATTTGACAGTAATCTGGTTGAAAATGATTCCAAATTTCCTGTACTTTACCCTTCAATTCAGGAATTGTGCGAACCGGTGCAGCTGGAAGTGTTTTTTTCATCTGATAACGAAGAAGCTCGGTAGGGGATAGATCAGGGCTACTTGAAGGCCATTTTAAAACCGGAATATGCATTTCCTGCAACCAAAAAATTACGGGTTTCGCTTTATGGCAGGCTGCATCATCTTTTTGAAATATAAATCCTCCATCTGTTAGTTGAATTTCATAAATGGACGACAAAATGGTGGCTGTTTTAATACCAAACGTTATTGTCTATAGGTGTTTAATGAGGCAAATCAAGATGTATGAAATAACTGAAAACTTATTAGTCAAAAAATGGAGATTGTCGCTTTTGATACTAGGAGGTACTCACTTATCAGAGGATCTGTTAAAAATAGAGATTAATGCGAAATATTTTAACAGTTTAAAAATCACAACAATTAAATGAGTTCTGAGTAGCTGATAATGTTTTGGAGTAAACTTAATGTTCTTTGTGTCTGTTAAATAAATAAACATTTTGTATGTTACGACATTAAAAAAATACAAATATTTCACAATAATAATAATTTTTCAGACCTATATTGTACGCTACCAACATTTATTTGGAAGAAAGTGGTTTGTACCAGGTAAGTCTTTTAAAAATCCCGTTCGTATGAGCTTACCTAACGAAACCTACTCTTAAGGTTTAATCTAGTAAAATTCGGTAGATATTACTTGCGATCTTATGACACTCTTGTGAAAATCATACCATGACTGTCATGGTGAAATGAAAACACCAAAGACGACTAACGTTGGAGTTTGTAAAAATGTTAATTTTAAGTAGAGGTCTTTGTTTTGATGATATTTAATGTTAAGTAAGTTAGGAAATATTTATTTGTACTGTATAAATAAATGGATTGCTGATTTGTAAACCACTGTCGCTGCGAAAGCATGTTTTACTTTTTCTCGCATATTATATAAATATTGAAAAGGGAGAGTTTTATTTTATTCACCTTTTTTGGAATACACATGGAAATCACCTCAAGATAATCCTCAACAGTTATTTATGATTCATTTAATATCCATAAGAAATTCAAGCAGATCACAGGATATTATAGGAGTAAAAACATGACCGTCATTAGAAAAAACAACAAAATATTAACAGGTAATAATTAAATTCACTTGGCCTATGAATAAAACAGCACGTATCTCGATGCCCGATCAACACTAAATCGAACCAACTTCAGCAAGTCTTCTTCAGGGCCATGTATACTGGTATCAGAAGTGAATGATGTCATTAGGAATTAAAAAAAAACTGAAAGACCCCCGAAAATCCGTTTTTATACGTGAATGCACCATTCTATTCTTTGTTTCAAGTTAAGAAAATAACATTACGCTTATGGAGATCAGTGTTGCCAAAAAAACTCTCAGACACTCTCTTTTGCACGGATGTCCAAGATATTGCCATTGCTTAATTTTTGAATTTTCATTTTCAATTAACATTTAACTGTAAAGTTAGAATAACTATTAAATAAATGCCTTATTATCATTATGTAGTCAGAGAAAGACGTAAAATCGCTGACATACGCAAATCGTATTATTTTAAGTTGCAATTAGTAATTAGATATACGCATTCCAAGTCCGTTTATTTGCTTTTAAAACTTTAATAAGCGGCAAAATGCATGATTTAACTAAGCAATATTTTCTACTGATTTCTATGATTCATAGCTCACCGAAAAACAAATAAACTGTCGTTACTATAATTAAAATAAGATAAAATAAAATTATCTTTTGTAAATACTATTTATCTAATTAAAATTATTTTCCCTACTTTTCATCTCTTGTTTCGAATGGGCACTTTTGGTCAATTACGCTAAAAAACATTAATTTAATTCCTGTCTGTGGAAATGAAAATACAAATTATACAACCCTAAATTGTGCTTGTGTGTCGTGGCAACGCCGCGTTTCTATCGTCCGTAAGAAATACATGGCCCTATCAGCCCCTATCTCCGCAATGTTATTTTCTTAACGTGGAATGTAGTATAGGCAGAGAACTACGAACACAATAGGAAGAAACGAAATTAGTCTCGACTTAATACACTGTAATCTACAGCTTACTATAAATACCATCGAGCAAAAAGATAAAAGAGGGAATGTAAAGGTAGTGGGGGCCAAAATATTGTTAGACAGGAAGTGCGATTTTTAGAGGCCACATTAAACAAGGAAAGAGAGTCTCTCTCCTTGTTTGACATAAAATTTAGTTGGGTTATGTTATTGTTTGTCCCAAATGTCACATGAAATCTTATTTATATTGAAGTTTTTTAACAATTGTGTCGCATTTTAGATTATTATCGTTAATAATTAATTAAAACTTTCTCGTCTAAGACACATTCTGAAAAATATTATATAGCTACTGTTAATAAGTGTCGGAAAATTTAAATTTGGCGCATTCGCATTTCCGGATACGTCCGCCATCAGAGGCCGCTTTTTTTGGTCTCCTTTTCATAAGGATTAGATTCCCTCTTTTGTCTTTTTGCTCGATGATAAATACCCATTCCATTCGAAAACCACATTAGTCATCGACCGATGTTGTTTTGGCGCGGAATTGTCATTTGTATAAACAAAACCATCAAAATGGCACTAAAGCAATAAATGGCACGAATCACGGTACGAATAATGATCAGAATTTTGAAAAAAGTAAAAAAGAGGTAAAAAAGACAATTATAAGTCAGAAATAAGAATATGAAAATTATAAAGGTAATGTTGTACCCGCAAGAAAACTAGGAGGAGACTGTCGCTAAGTTTTAAGGTGAAGATAGTTTTAAAACGTAAAATTATTATATATTTTTTGTAGTTGTCGCTTGAAGTGCTTTGAAAAAGTTAAAATAAGAAAAGTGCTAACAGTTAAAGGATGTAAGTGCTGAAATACTTGCCAAATTCAGAAGCATGCTTACCAAGAATGCACAAGATTCATACTTAAAAGGACTTATGGGAAAGTGTGAAGCAAAAAAGAGACTACCTCGAAATAAAAATCCAAAGAATAGAAGAGATATACCATGAGTTACTCCGTGACAGGCTCGGGTGGCAAAATTATTGTTTGCAAAAAACCTTTCATGGGAACTCACACTATGAGTTATGAAAGAATTCGAAGAATTTCTAAGCTTCTTGTTCAAGGAAGAGCACCACTACATAAACGTGGAAAAAATATTTCAGGGAATGCTAAGTCTGAAAATTTAATAGAACAGATTAAGATTCATATTGGGAGTTTTCCCACTAAGATTCACATTACACAGGGAAAGGAAAGCGATACTTAGACAAAAAATTGACTGTGCGAATTATGTATGACCTATTTTGTGCCAAATTTCCTGATAATAATAATTCAGTAAAGTATAAATTTTATTTGAAGATTTTCCAGGAACATTTTTCTCTATCTTTTGGACGTCCACAGGTAGACACTTGCTATGAATGTGAACAGTTAGAAATATAAATTAAGAGTCCATCTTTAAACAAAGCAGCGAAGTGCGTGCCGTTGCGGAATTATCTGTATATAAAACACGTGTAAAGAAGTTCTACAATAAAATGTCAGAAATTGCAAAGATATGCAAGACACATGCCAGTGTATGTGGCCTGACGTTTGATTATATGCAAAATCTTCTACTTCAACTTATTCCTGTGCAGGAGACTTTTTTCTTACGTCAACTAACCTACAACGTCATTTCAATTCATAACATGAAAAAAAAAACAAGGGATGTTTTATACCTACCACGAGGTTCAAGCCAGAAAGGTCCCAATGAAGTTTAAAACCATAAACCAGTACTTTCCACAACGTGGCTAGTGCTTTTTGCCGAATGATAGAAACTTTGCGGCAACAAAGAGTCATAAAAAACTTTGACCGTGTTTACCACCCAAAAGAAAATACAGAAATAATAGTAAAATCTTTGAAACTAAAAAGTGGTGGCCTAAACATGACAAAAAACGTATTTGTCTACCGACTCAATGGGCCGAAAGAAAAAGAATAAAACATCACTTTCCAGATTTTAAACTACTATCATTTTTTAAATTCTTAAAACCAACCAGGGACTGTGATAGTATCGAAATATATTAATGGTTTTATCACTAAAAACTTTAAACTTAAAATAACTGGTAGAATTATATTTTTACCAATAGTTCTGGCCTATCCGGATGGTAAAGTACCAATTAATAATAAAAAATTGAAGATATACGCAAGCTCATGGACTACATACCAGAGGAAAAAATATATGTAAGTTTATATAAAGTCCATGTAAAGCACTAAATAATTCCTTTAAATGATCGTAACCAGATTCACACCACGGATTTTGATGTTTGCCCCTATTTGTCGAAAATAAAATGCAAGGCCAACAGAAAAGTTTGTTTTTTATTTCACTCCCGGTAAGCCATGAGTACTTGCTGTACCAATTATCTGAAAATTATCTATTACTTCCCTTACCCGCACTAATATTTATAAGCCGGGACATTTTAGGCAAAGGACGCCCCTTATTTTTAATAACATATTGTTCTTCGTATGGAATAGATGAAAACCCATTATGCAAAATATAATTTACAATATCAGACTTATCAATACTTACAGTTTCTCCCATGGCTTGCATTTTTAGGTTAATTTACCTGAATTTGTTTACACTTTAATTTAAAAAAAAAAAGAAACTTCTAATATGTCAAAAAGCCCTTTAACCTTTAACTATTTACGGCAGACGTAACGTATCACAGTATTACTTTAGAAAATAAAAATAAATCACAACAGAAAGGCTAGTTCGTGCACTGAATATCACTTCACAGGAACGTAGATTCCTTGTGGACTTCACTTTACTACATATATGAAATAACATTTCGTCCCACGCTCGCAATGTACAGTTCGCGACCAATCACCAATCCAAATAAAACATCGGCAAATTTAAATTTGTCGTACTTGGTAATTGAGTTCATATGGAAAGAAATATATATTTGATTGCTAATCAACTAATATTCCGTTGATTTTTACAAGTAAATCGTAAGGTTGGGATCGGCTTGCCGAGAAAACAAAACATGCCTTTTTAAGAATTCACAGGCGGATGGATGTCTCCGATATCGGATCATCAATTTGAAAAGTGTCTACGCAGGGATCACTTAACGCTCAGATTGGACGAATTCTTTTAAAAACCATGAATAAAATTTAGTCTGGTCGAATTCTTTTAAAAACCATGCATAAAATTTAGTCTTTATTATCTCACAGATATTTTTTTATTTCAAAAAACAAATGACATCAACTGATTATCTGCCACAATTATTTATTGAAATACTGATTAAATTAAATATTAAAAAAATCTATAATATCTATAAAAGTGTCGCCTGCTGCGACCCTGATCGGCCGCCACTGCTTTAAATTAAACTAAAACTTTTAGGACCTCAAAATGGAGGCAGCATAAAAAATTTCGAAACCCCCCTCAGACAAATTCTGGGTGTGCCACTGCTGCCGTTTGGTAAAAAACTTACTACAATTTAGAAACAACAAAATTTGTGATTTTCTTATATTTTTGCACTAATAATAATTGCATATTTCTCTAAATAAAAGGAACTTCAAATATTAAGAGAATTTACTATTAACTTTCTCAGCACAGCGGACCGTTAAAGTCAGAGCTTTCATCCCTAATCCAAAATAGCCACAAATTCGTGAAATATGCTGTAGTAATCTTTTTCTATAATATTTTTTTTACTTTATATGCAAACACAAAATTGCCAATGATATGTCTCATCTCTTGCGCCGACTCTACAATTTGAAAATATTTACCAATAATCGATAAACGCAGATCATTACCGGCTACAAATTTGAATCGTCATTTTATCTTAAATTTTAACTATTAAAAACTATTTTCGAAAATAGTTTTTTGTCTGCAGTATATCCATGTTTCAGTTTTAACATGAATATTGTGAGGAATTCAAAGAGCAAAACATCCTGTGTGTTTTAAATAATATCAGAAATACAGAAAATTTAAAATGAAGTTTTTAGTTTTTGTGCTTTTTATTAATTCTTGTGCCTCTTGGACGATGAAGAATGATCTACAGATAACGGTAAAGTATATTTATTTCAATATATGGATGGTGTTTTCTTATAATGTGACATGCTTTCTAAACAAAAATATTTTCAGAGTTCAATGTAATTCAATCTTATATTGATATAATTGGGGTAGCTTATTTGGACCCAGTTTTGCAGAAAGCGTTCAACCCACAAAAAGAGTATTCTTCAGAAAATTGGAAAATACGTTTTTATAAATAATGAATTGTTTTTGTTTAAAATATTAATATCTCATAAACTTTATTTAGCAGGCTGAGTTGAAATAGACCACAAGGAATATCATTTTCAAAAATTTAATTTTTTTTTGAATAGGTACTGTGTTGATTTTTTGGGGGTTAGATGCTTCCAGCTAAATAAAAAATTCAGGTTATTTAAATTTATTTATTAACATTATTTCGACACAACCACAAAAAAAGGGCAAGTGATTATTGATATATGTTGATATACATATTTCATGGTAATAACAACAATATTAAAAATTTAAATTTCTTCAATACAGAAAGCTAAATTATTCATATTAGAACAATCAACATCTTCTATCTAATCTAAATTAATTTTTGATAAAAACTTAAACAATCTGCTGACAAGAGATGGTACATTTCCCGCAAATTTGCAAGTTTCGGTTCTGTTAGGGGTTTCCCTTAAAGACACAGTTCGACTAAATTTAAAAATAAATCACATTGACTTTGAAGTTGTCGCCCTCTCGTTATCTTTTTTATATTAACCTCTTTAATGGGACTATCAAAAGTGTTCTGCTAAATAAATATTGAAAAAGGTTCATTTTTTGTTATCGTCATAGATATTATAGTTAGCCAGTTAATTTTTTCAGCATCAACAGATACTTTTCTGTTGGTTACATTGCTTTCTATGGATGATGTACCAAAAAATTCGTTCGAAGTCGAAGTGGATTTTTCTTTCTGCACACTTTCATGACATTTATGTAATCTGAAGGCAAATACATTCGTTGTAGCATTGTAGACCCAAAGTTGTCTCTTATAGAAAACGATGTTAATTGGAATCCTTGGAAGTGACAGAGTTTTCTCCAAATCAAAAGTGAGGCTCTCATAGTAATTCAATTCTTTTGCCTTTTTAAAATCTTCTCTTCTCAAGGATTGTGCAGTTTTAGCCTCAAAAAGATGCCGTCTGTGTTTTCAAGTTATTTCCTATTTCTTCTTGGCATTTGCTTCATTATTAACTTTTTTAGTGTCTTAGTTTGCAAATTAAAGTTGGAATAAAAGATTTGTTTGTTTTTGGTGATACTTACAGGTTTATCATATTCTTTGGAATATATTTCGTACATTAAGACGGTATAATCAGTATATCTGATGTTGTCTATGCTGATTCCGTTAATCTTAATTCCGCCTTGGACCTCGTCTAATGCTTCTCTGAATATAGACTCCGAATACAAATTAAATAATAGCGGTGATAAGAAGCAACCCTTTCTCACTCCTCGTCGGATTTGTATATCTTCGGATGTTGTGTGCTCTATTTCAATTGTTGTGGTTTGGGGCCAGTATAGTTCTGAGATAATTTATAAGTCTTACGAACAGTCAACTTATGATCAGGTATTTTATTCTTACCGTCTTGATTATCACCTTGTTTTTCTACTAATGGTGCGCGACCATGAAATTTCTTAAGTGCCGTGTTCACCCAGCAAATGCTTACACCAAATATTTTAACAAACATTTCTCTGCAGATGACTTTATCAGTTATATTGAAATATCTAGAGAAGTTACATTTCTCAGTATTTTTTCCATAACTTTTTTTATTTGGGACTTCGCCAACTGCAACCACTATGTAATTATTTTGGCAATTGTACGATTCTAGTGCCCAGAATTTTTCGAATTTCTGCTTTCGTACTTCAACGAAAACAAACTGTTGACACCTTAATTACGTTAGCAATCGAAATCTATAAACGTTCTTGATTCTTTTTTACGCCCTTTGTAGTCGAAATGGGCCATGTTACTGTTTCTATTTTTTTGCGTTCGGCTCTAGATTGATTTGCAAATTTTCTTTTTCTTCTCTTTCGAGGTGTCATTATTCTTTAGTGGATTATCAGTGTCATTATTTCTAAACTCATGTACTGTCTCTAATTCTTGAAGCTGACATTCTTGGTTATCTTGGTCGTATATGATGATACTGCCAATGCCATTATTTCTAAACACATGTACTGTCTCTAATTCTTGAAGTTGACATTCTTAGTTATCTTGGTCGTATATGATGATACTATCAGTGTCATTATTTCTGAACTCATGAACTGATGTTCTGTCTCTTCGAGAAATACAACGACCTAAATTTTTGCTCCCCAATTTTAACCGTCCGAAGCTTGTTTCTTCTTCTTCAAGTGCCCTGTCCGTTGCGAACGTTGGCTATTAACATGGCAATTTTGATCTTGTTTGCGGCGCTTCTGAATAGTTCGACCGATGTGAGCCCGAACCACTTCCGCAGATTTTGGAGCCACGAGTGTCTTCTCCTGCCTGGCCCTCGCTTACTGTCTATTTTTTCCTGGACAATCAATTGTAGCAGACGGTACTTATCGTGTCTCAATATGTGGCCTAGATATTCAAGCTTTCTTTGTTTAATTGTATTCACGATTTCTTTCTCCTTTCCGATTCTTTGGAGTATCTCTATGTTGGTGACATGTTCGATCCAGGATATACGAAGAATACGTCGGTACACCCACATTTCGAATGCTTCTAGTTTTCTCGTTAGCGTCTCCGTCAGCGTCCAGGCCTCCACGCCATACAGCAAGATCGGAAAAATGTAGCATTTAACTATACGTAGTTTTAGGGGAAGGGACAAATCCTTGCTTATGAGGAGCTTTTTCATATTGCTAAATGCTGCTCTAGCTCGTTCTATTCTCGCCTTAATTTCTATGGTCTGTTCCCATTTTGCATTTACGTTGGTGCCAAGGTACACATAAGATTCTACATGGTCAATTAATATGTTACTTATCCGTAATTGTCGAGCAGATTGTTGCTTTTTGCTTATCAGCATCCACTTTGTCTTCTTGAAGTTGAGGCTCAGGCCGTATTCCTCACTAACTGAATAAAGTCTTTCCATTACTTGTTGTAATTCGTCTATGGTACTGGCAAGGATCACCGTGTCGTCGGCGTATCTTATATTGTTCGGCGTAAAAGATCTTTTCTCGAGCCGTTTTACTCTCATGACCATTCTGCATACCAACACATTGTGGTCCGTAGGAACAACAGCACCTGGGTACGTTTTTGATGATTTTATCATGTTTTTATATCTTGTTGGTACTGCTATATAATCTATCTGATTTCTAATGATGTTGTCAGGTGAGTCAGCGGGGGATTTCCATGTGTAAAGTCGACGTTTGGGGAGCTTGAAGAGTGTATTACTTAACAGCAGGTTATATTCCTGGCAGAAGCATATAAGTCTATCACCTCTATCGTTTCTCTCCCCTAGGCCGAAGTTTCCCACGATCTCATTCACCTTGCCTCTGCCAACCTTTGCATTGAAATCTCTCATCACTATTGTTACTTCATGTTTCTTTTTCATGAAGCTTGTTTCACAGATTCCAAAACAGAAAATGTGTTTCTACTATTGTCAGGATTGGCAATCAATATATCTAAAACAAAATACCAACTTTTGTTTAGAAGCAAATTTCCACAACATTGTTCAGTTCATCTGCATAAAAGATTATTACTTTTTTAACTAAAACTAAACAGAGAAATTAAAATAAGTAAAAAATGTTTTCTCCAGTGACGTAAAAAATTGGGGAATAAAACTTGTCAACTAACTGGATAGCGCATCACTGGTTAAACGTTTCAAAAGTTTATGTCAAAATATTAGGTACTTTATTAAAAAGCATGTTGGTCTTCCTGGCAAGGTTTCCTGGTTTTGAACTTTATACGGTAACGGTTTACTGGTCAATTACCCAATCCCCAACTCATAGGACCAGAATTTTCTGTGGCGGATTATTCTCTCAGTCGATAGGGTACCAGAATCTCGTCTTTCACCTCCTTTCGTCAGATACATAACGCACACCTATTGTACGCCATGCACCCAGTGGTTAAGCGGCGAAAGCCTTCGGAGACATACGAGTAGGATTTGTTGGGTGAAGCTGAGTTCTATTTCAAGAATCTCCGACATCTTCTTATTCTTCACGTGCCATTTCAGAGTTATTCCCCGTTAGCGATCACCATTGCGAAGGTTTCTCGATATTCTGCCTCATGGAATAATTGTCATGCATATGATATCTGAGTCCATTCACGAATGTTTTTTAGCCAATAAACCTGGTTTCTTCCTACACCTCTACGGCATTTTACTTTGCCTTTAAGGACCAGTTGTAATATTCTACATCGATATATTGATTTCCCTTCACTTTATGTCCCAGATAAGACATTTTCCGGTGTTTAACAGTCTTTACCAAATCTCTATCTTTGTTGATCCTCCCTAGTACGTCCTCATTAGTTTTTCATGCTGTCCAAGGTATCTTTCAATTCGAAATGAAAAATACCAGTTCCTCCAACTTATAATCGAGGGTAAAATTGAAGGCAAGAGAGGAATGGGACGCAAGAAAATATCCTGGCTCCGAAACATAAGGCAATGGACAGAGATTAACGACATACAATCTCTGATACATATTGCAAGAAATAGAGAATTAATGGAAAATGTGATCGCTAACATCCATTAGTGGATTTGCATCTGAAGAAAAAGAAGAATGTTTCAATTCTATTCATACTTGATACTTTTAGTGTCCACAGTTCTGCTTCATACAAAATTACAGACCAAATAAAGCACAACCATTTTTTGTCTTAGTTCTAAACTGAGATTATTATTGCATTCAATATCTTCATTTTCATAAAAGTAGTTTTATTCATTGCTATTCTTCGTTTTATTTCTATGTCTGGATCTAGTTGGTCCGTTGACAGTTCCCAAATACGTAATTTTGGAAACTTTTTCAACTTGCACTGCATTTAATGGAATCTCTGCATCTGTTTGTGGGTTACGACTAAAGACTAAAAAT